GTAGTAGTAGTAGTAGTACTACTAGATGGTCGAAGCAGCTCACATCGCTTACTGCTGCCCCTCCCACTGCCGCCAACACTGCTACTGCAATTGCTACTGCTAACGCTGCTGCTACTTCCGCTTCTTCTCCTACTCCTACTAATTCTACCCCCAGCACCACCAACACCACCATGACTGCTATTATTGGCTACTCAGACTCCTGTTACAAATACTACGGTAACTACGCTACCATGCGTCTGCTGCTACTCCTACTCCTACCCCTGCTCCTGTGCCTCCACAACGTACTACCACCACCACACCTACTTTTCCTACTCACGCTGCTCTGCACCGCCCTGCTGCTTGCCTTCAGGCAGACAAAGTCAAATATGTCGGCATGGACATACACATGGCTGCAAACGGCAACAGTAGTTTGACTTGAGAGGCTACAACATGCTACTGTACAACTCTTCGACATCAGGCCAAGTGAGAGAGGCATGCTGCATTCGAGGTCAGACGAGTTTAACGTAAGTTTCAACGTGCTCCTGCTCTGATGCGGTCGCAGTTGCGGATGCCAATAGAGCCAGGCACCTCAATGATGCAGAACACATTAGTGCAGAGTCAAAAGCATGACAACATGACCACCATGCTCAATCCTCAGGTTCACAAGTGTGAACTCTGCAAGAAAGGGACGCAACAGGCTGAGCGCCGGTTGCTGCATCCAGGGCATGCCAGCGCTGGCAGCAACACACGATTCCTAGGCAACGAGGCACTTCACGTCTAGAAACGCTGGCATGGGGCACATCCAGGGAACGGAAGCTTTGGTGCGGCCTCTCGCCAAGCGTCAGCCAGAGACAAACCAAATTCTTGAACGAAACTGCGCAGCACAAGGCGTGGTTCAGGATCTTCTCCTCTCCACCACAGACGACGCGTGAAACCGTTCAACAGACCATGCTGCGCTCTCTGCCGGACGCAGACCTGCAGCTTGATCGATCCAAGCCAGAAAGGTGCTGCTGGCCTTGGACGTCGAGAACTGTCCTTCAAAATAGCAAACACTGCAACACTGCAGCTGAAGGGCCCAGAATGCACGGACACCTGAGGCGCTGCAGCGCGGAGTGTCCCCTTCTTTCGAGCATGACACTAGAAACGGATGGCCTGAGTGGGTTTCAACATCCGAGTGAAGTAGAGGCTGCGAAAGCAGAACTGCTCCGCCGAGCAGTTCCACCTCTGGCATGTTGAAGCTGCTGGCACACGCACTCCCAAAGTCGGCCTACCGGCCTGCAAAGCCGTGAGCTTGCATTTATCCACGGACACGCGCAAGCGCTCGCGTCCACGCTCGGATGTGAATCGCACCACATCGAACAACCTCAAACACCGACCGACATGCATGGCGGCGTGACGTTCCACTGAAACTTGCAGCTCTTGGGAAACGATGTATAGATTCGACATCTCAATTGAGCTGGGCAGCCACGTTCGGAGGCTCTGGCATCTGCTCCTGCTACCCTCGGCAGAGACAAGTCAGTTGCGATGCATGTGGACTACAGTGACTGCAGGGTGTTGAGACCTGAGACTTCCTGAGACTCTAGGAGTCGCACGTTCTCGTCAAGGGCCAGGAAGCTTGCCACAACCCGACTCTCCTCCTGAAGCCCAGGGCCACAACAGCGGTCTCTGCTCCTGTGCTGCCTTCTTTGCAGCACCGGCAACTTACACATGCATCTCCTCGAAAGTTGCAGGAGATGCGTCTTCACTGGCAATGATGTGCAACCTGAGGATTCACACTGTACAGTGGGAGCAAGCGCCCTGAGATCCACTCGGAGTGGATCGTCCAAGACATTCCCAAGAGAAAGACCAGCCGTGGACCCTCCAGACTTCGCATGCATACCGGAAGCTGCTAGATTGCTACCATCGGAGTAGCTACGTCTGCTTGTACACTGAGTTGGGGCAAGTTGCAGCCACTGAACTGCAGAGCCACTGAGAGGCCAGGGATCCACCATCCTTCGACACACCATCACTGGATTTGCACACTCACGGCAGCGAAATATCAACACGGACGGAGTCACGTTGAAAACGAGGAGCAAGGACCGCAGCGAATCCAGAACAGCACCGGTCATCGCAGTTCTGTGCACCGTTTCCTGCGTGATGAACGAAATGTCTCGGAGTTAGAGCCTCACATTTCTAGGCTTTGCGGCCTCGAGATGCAGAGGCTGCAGCGATTCTTCCTGCAGACAGAGTACAACACGCACGTTTGCTTCTACTTGCGCTGTGAAGCTCCGGGGAATGTTCGGAGATCCAAGTAAGCCACTACTTTTCACACAGCCTTCAGCTCGCAAATTCACCAGGCAGTGATCACGAGTGGGTCTTGTCCCAAATCTGGCCACGCTGAATCCAAGGTGGCGTTCACCAACAAAGCTACATGTATTGCTGAACACCGCTTCAGACCAGACCATCGTTCAACAGCGAATGGAGGCATGAATCTATCTTAAGGCTGCATCTTAGACTCTTCGACCAGGGATTACCATGTATTTCGGGCGAAACTTCAACCAACGCATTGAAATCTTCTTGCTCTCATGAACCAGCTTCCACTGCTATAACTTCCAATCAGGCCCCTCCTGCTGGTTGTCCTCTTTCGCTCCACGGAGAACGAAGACCACAGGCTGAAACGGTGGAACAGAACTCATGACCTGCCAAATTGCGAACATGAGTCCATCCGTGAGATGACAATTGTGCAGTTCTTCCTGCAGAGCACGTCGTGTCCGCAAAGTAGACGGTTGCAGGCAACCAATAGCTACTTGCAGCACAACCGGTAACGACGCCGCCTGGTTCAAGGGGCATGTAGTTCTTTGCGGCTTGCAAGGCTTTGTTACAGTACAGCTGTATCAGTATCAGCAACGAGCTTCAACGTCGCACAACGAGGCGAGTAGCCGAAGGTCATTCGCCCTGCCGGAGCAACGACAGCGTGGCATGTTCTCTGAGACAAGGAGCCATGGATCGCAGGGTCTGCATCAGCTCCACCAGTGACAGCCGCATCAGCTGCTGCTCCTCGTTTCGCATTGATGTGGTCAGCCTTCCGCTCACTGGCTCCGTGCCTTGGGTGGAATCTCACGAGCTTGGCGAGCAGTCTTCCGCCGCTTGGCCCGCGCAGCGTTGAGAGACACGAAGTCTGCCTCACAAACGTTCTTATCAAGCAATCGCTGTCACAAAGACATAACAGAAAGAGGAGGAAAAGACAGCAGACTCACGCGCCTCTTTGGACGAATCTCCTCTGCACTGGTACCAGGGTTGCTGAAACCGCCGCTTCCTGAAGGGAGCGAACATTGACACAGCAGAGATCTCGAGGACTTCTGGGGCTCGGACAGCCGAGTTAGAAGCCACTCCTCCTCCTCCGAGACGCCCTCGCTGTTCTTCAATCGGGCAAGGACGTCCCGACACCTGCGACTCCGCCGCCGTGTGCATTCCCGTCAGAGACATGAAAAATGTGCCGCAAGGCCTCTCCATGTCACCAGATCGCAAGAGCGATTGGGCAAGTTTTCTCAAAGACCTCTCTGGGATGATCTGGGATGTATCTAACTTCTATGCTCGGGGATGCACCACAGGCTTTTTGCTGTAGACGCAAATCAAGAAGCCTAGCCACTATTCGGCACATGTATGACTCAGTGCTTCCAGGATGCACAGTATCAGCAGGCTCCAGACGAAGACATCGGCACAAGGCCTGCAGCATCTGCCAAACTCGGTTTTGCACCAGGACTCCAGCAAGGCGACAGAGCTGAGACGCCCCGTGTTGCCTCTGTGGCCGCCGGCCAGTCTTCGGCCTTCATCGCGCAGTCTGCCAAGCGTCGCAGCAATGGCATTCGTTCATCTGCAGAGCGATGCTCCTGCCAATCGCATGCACCGCGAAGTCTGGCAGCGGAAGATCAAGCTGTGACCGCTGCATCTTGAGGGCTAGAGTCAAACCCTCAGTTGTACAATATTGCACAATTACCGCATGCTTGCCATTTCCCCTCCTCTATCCTGTTGGACTGACATGCTTTGGACCATCAGCCGTCAGCTCCTTCGTGACGTATCTCACGGCATGTTGTAGGCTTGCCAGCGCCTGTCAGCGGGCTTTCGCATGAGCCACCGATGTAAAAGCGTCATGCACGACTGTGACCGCGCGCTTCTTGCGAGGAAGCGCGTTCGAAAAAACTAGCTCCTGGATTCCAGCAAGAGGTCACAGGGACTGCTCAGTGCTGTGGCACTTGCCATGCATGGCACAGGTCCCGTGCCTTCTTGTGCTGCCCGAGCTGTTCTTCAGCTTCGGCCAGATTTTGCCAGCATAGAGCTTTAAAGCTACGAATCCAGAATCGATCACCTGGGAAGCCGCCGACACTCTGCACCCCTCTGCATCCGCATACTTGTGCTTGCAAGCAACTGGGGCCCCAGCGAGCGCAGCTGCTGTCAACAGCAAGGAGGAGCTTCAGGCGTCGCTTCGCTTCCAGTGCCTTCCCCGCCACGCTGCGTTCTTTGCATCTCTTGCACGGCTGTGCCCAGAGCCTTGCCCTCGGAGATGGATTTCAACGCTTCCTTCGGGCAATTCGTGTTTCCCAGACCCTGCAGTCAGCCCGGGTCGTTCTGGCCTCGTAGCTGGTTCTCAGCTGAGCTCTGTCGATTCCATCTTCGGCTCCAGGGACCTCGTCGGAAACCGGACATGTACACTTTGCGCGCTTTGCGAACTCCACTTCGGTGAGTCTCTGAGAGCAACTGGTCACTCCTCGTCATGTGCAGCGCCGAACTGCGCAAACTTCAGCATCGCTGAAACCTCAATCCCGAGCCCAGGCGTACAAGTGACCCTAAAAACGCGGCGCAACACAAGTCGAGCAAATACCGCAGCGCTCCAGTCATCAACACGCTCCAGGCTGCAGTTCTGCCTTCTTCTGAGTCGAGTGACATTGCCCCTTTGCACAACCCTTTGTCCGTCCAATCTACATGCTGCCGTGTGTTGCACAGCATTGCTCTGCAGCGCCGCAAGCTGTTATTTGCAATATTTGCACATGCATGCTCTTGTTCGACTGCTCCGTATGCATCTGCATGCCAGGGTCTGTGGCAATAGTGCACTCTCCTCCTGGATTTGGTGCTTCAACTTGCAACGACTGGTGTCGCCTTCTGTGACATTGCAATGGCTTGAACGACATGATGAACTCTCAGCCAGATTATGTATTGGCCAATTGGCATGTGGACTCATCCAATCAAAGCAACTGCACGTTTTACTCGTCTATGATAATGTCTGATGCTAAAAGCTGCGAGCATGCAACTTCATGTTAGTTAGTTGGCACGATGCTTAGTGAAAGAGAGAGCACGGGATCCCAGAGTCTTGTTGAGCTCACTCAGCATTGTTTTGTTTCTCACAAGCGGCAAGTCATTCACGGTCACTCCGCCTGGCAAAACAGGCCGGTTGAAGTAGACTGGCCCAGCTATCCTCCAAAGATCCAACACCGAAATGCCCTCCGCTCTCGCTGCGCCTGTCGTGGAGTTGCAGCACCTGTCGGCCTTCACGTGACGAAAACGCTTGACGACACCGCACCTGGCCTAGGCCTAGGCCCCAAATTTCGCAACCGCTGTGCATGAAGCCCATCCACGTACAATGCTTTCACTACACAGACCCGGGCCGTGCAAAGGCGTGGCTGCAAGACTTGGCTACTTGAGGCGCCAACTGATCAGCCCCCACTGGCTTCGCGTCCGCGTCAAGGGCCTGCTGCAAGGCGGTTGACTTGTCTGGGCGGCTGTGACGAGGACTCCGGCTCCCTCCCCAGCCTCGTCAAAAGTAGCGAAGTCTTCCAGGCCCGGTGCGCTTTGGTCAGAGGCCTTGCGCTGCCAAGAGCATTCACAGAACAGTCAAGTCCAGCTCTTGAATGCAAGCTCGGCTCGTGGCGCCAAGCACGGTAGGGCTTTGACCTGCCGACGCCTGTGGCAGATTGCAGAGACAAGGCCTCTTGAAGCACCTCTACTGCTTTGGCTGAGCCTACCATGCAGTCCTGCCTTCTGTGGCTCCTCCGCTGCACCTGTCGATTAATGCTGACGATTTCATGTTGGAAAAACCGAAGTCAGATCCAGCTCGCCAAAGACATTCGCAGCGGTCGCTGACTCCCAAAAAACCATGCAACCGACTTATGCAGGGCGGCCCAGGCTGCCAAGTGGCATGTCGCAGCGGGGTCGGGCCAGGTGTCCTCGTCCTGGCGAGACGAGTGAAGATGCCACCGTTGGACAGGCATGACAATTGCACGTCCTGTGGCAGGACTTCGTATTGAAGCGATGCCAAGGAGTCTACTGCCACAGACTGGTTCTTCAGCCTCGCCTCACATTCTCGTCTAGTTCCCTACAAGTCCGAACTGGCTGGGCGTCAGCTTACAATAAACGAAAACACCAGGTGAGATACTGAAGATCTCTTAGGCAAGTTTCGTAGACGAGCATTCCAGCCAGGGCCTCGGCGACTTGGCGAGGCCAAGATGCCAAGCCGGAGTTTAGGGAAGTGTATATGTTGACCCTGACTCAGTGGTTTTGGGACTTGTTGCGTTGACAAGAGCCAGGCCAGTGGGACACAAATCGAACTGTCGCTGGATCTACTTCTGATCTTCAAACGTCCGAGTCTCCAGGAGCAGTCCGCTCCACTGCAGGGCCGTCGTCTTCTCGCCGAAGACGAAGATGGAAAAGAGGATCGTCACCTAGGCTGTCGGACAGTGTCGACGTCACCTGCCGCAGCCAGCTAAGCTCCTTGCGATGGACTTGAGATTGCCGAAAACTGCCAATGTCAACGATGACCTCGGAATGACCATCTTGAAACAGAGACGCATCACGCATATTGACACTGACGCTTCGCGACAAAGACTGGTTGAGCCCGGGCATCGCAGCTCCACTCCGATCTCGCGTCTGAGCGAGCGGCGTGACTTTCACGAGGTGCACCTGTTCAAAAACCAAAATCTCCCGGAGTGGCAATCGATGCTCCTCCCGAGAGGCCTCGACGAGGAGGAGGAGGAAGGCAAGAAAACCTGGCAGCAGTACCTTGCGTCTGCTGTGCTCTGAGTCTCTTGCGGGCGCTGGAGCCCCTCCACATGGAAACGACATGAGGTCCAGCCAGGAATTCCTTTTCCTGCTCCACCCGATTCATCTGCAAAGCACGAACCAGATGCAGTCAGATCCGCAGGACTAGCGAAGGAGTGGCTCAAGAAAGAGCTTGCAAGACAGCTCGGGCTCTGCGTCGCCCAGTTTCGGCCAGCTTCGGCAGCTTCTCGGATTCGGGACTCGGACAGTTCCCTGTGTAGCAGACCGTCATCGCCGTGCAGCACACTGTCCCCGACCGTCTGGCCAGATATCTTCGATGGTCAGGGACACTCGGTGATGTACTGGGAGCAGGTCGACAAAGGTTTTCCGGTAAAGTGGGGTTGGGAAGTCTACAGTTTGAGACTGTAAAGTAACCCATGCGCTTCGATTCAGTGAGCCTTCCAGTGTCCACTGCACAGCATCTCGGGGGCAAAGGCCATCGTAGTCGCAGGTGCGCCCATCATGTTTCCCGAAATTTCGATCTCCTGGCTCCCTTGCCGTTGCCCAGCGGAATGCGTCGATTTCGGTTTCAACACCAAAATCGAACTCCAGCTGAGTGCCAATCAGTTCAGCTACTGATGAGTTGAGATTGCTATCTAGAGCCCTCGCATGCGTCACGCTTGAGACAAATGCAACACCCTGCGGTACAGAGAGCTCCTCCCACACTCCGCCGTAAGCGCGCGTTCCGGCATTGAATGTTGTTATTCTTGTCCAGTTGCCTGCAAAATGGCCTTCAAGTGCAAGACTAAAAGAGGCATACTCCTGATCCTTGTCTTGAAGAATTCGCACACACTTGGCTGTTGTTGCAGAAGAGAAGTTAAGGCCTATCCATTGCGTGCCTGCGCGGCATGGGTTTCGACAGTCTGCCCACCAGTTGGTCGTGACATTGGCATCAAACGCATATGCAGCAGGCCCATGCAAATCAAACATCATCGGATCTGCAAATGGCCGGGACTGCCAATATGTCCGAGGTGTGTCATGTGCACCCATTGGTGCCGTGTGGTCGATGGAATGCCCAAACCCTCGAGGAAGGCTCGAGGAAGCTATAGCTGTACCATTCGTGAGAGCAACCGTGCAGTTTGTATCATTATAGAACTCCAATTCCCAAACTCCCCACGTCTGAGGAACATCCATGGCATTCACGATTCTGTAGGCATCGTAGTGCCCATCAGGTGCCTTCTGCGTCGTGATGGGCTGGCCATGCCTCCAGAACTCGATCTCAGCAATCTGAAAGATGGGAAAGGTGCAGTATGTCGCGCCCATGTTGTCTGGGATGCAATATCCGGACCTGCATTCAGTATAGTCCAAACAGAAGCAGCCGTCTGGCTTCAAAGCATCGGAGCAAGTAAAGCTGTCGGTCGCCGCATAGCCACGAGCCTTTGTCGCAGTCCAGCGGTAGTACCGATAGTTTGGCACCTGGCACCAAACCTCTTCAGGAACGATAGCCGGGTACTGTGCGCCGGTTGGGCGCAACAGGAAGAGCGCCTTCCACATGCGGAATAAGCTCGCAAGACACCGGCAGAGCAAGCCCCATGAGCCGAAAGCAGTGCTCCAACAGAGAGAGACGGAGATTGTCTAGACTAACCACGCACCGTCTGGGCTAGCTTTGTGGAACGATGCAGCTTGGGATCAGCATGCTGAACGGGATGCAGAGCTAAGTTAAGCTTCGTGATCAGGTAGGGCGCAGCCGCCTGCAAATGCTTATCTCCGGAAATGAAAGACTCGTCTGAACCATTGAATCGAAACTGCGTCGAGTCCAAAACTTGAGCTTTGGAACTTCAACGCTTGGCCTCCTATCACTACATAGAAAGATCCTCATCGCGAGGTGCGGAGGCTGGACTAGACAGAGGTCGCAGAAGCCGTGACACCATCAAGGACCAGTTTCAAGACCACCCCACAGTTTTCAATGAAACACCGAACGTTGGAATCCCAGGCAAAGCTCGCTCAAAGCTTTAATTTTCATGCTCCAGAGCTGCAAGGAGGAAGTACTGGCCAGCCGCATCGGGCTCTGCCAACACATGCAGCTTCTCCCTCTCTCCTCGCAGAGGCATCGCATGATGCGACAGGGTTTAGGGTTTAGGGTTTAGGGATCTTGCCAAGGTTGCCGATAACAAAGAACTATAGTCGGATAGGCAGATCAACGCATCGGAGCATCGTGCCAACACAAAAGGCGCTAGCGTCAGTGACGACGCAGGTGACCTCAGATCACATCGACACAATACCCCTACTAAGATATGTGCTATGACAAGCACCTTCACCCATCCCTGGCCAACTGTTGCCAGCTGAGTCTCATGTAGAAAACCGTCTGCATAGCCTCTGCAGCTGCCACAATCAAGGAAACACCGGAAAAGGTCGTGCCGGGCAGCAGATAAGCCGCTGGATTGGAGGGTCTTCTGCGTCGCAAGCCAGCGCAAGGCAGCGAAGACCTCGGAGCCTGAGCTTCTCGTGTCGGAATGCGAAGATGCACAGCTACGGCAGCTACCGCTGGTGGCAAAGGCACCGAGCACCAGCCAGAAGCCCCGGATGTCAAAGTCTGTCTCCCCGTAGGATGTAATGAAGATTCCGATTGAAATCCTGGGTCAAACAAAGAGCAACTTCTCACCCCTATGGCAAGAATGTAGACAAGATGGGTCGCTGCTGGGGCTCCTACAGAACGACCGTGGCTGCAATTCCGGCAGAGCCTGATGCCAGCGTATCGGAAGAGATTCTTCGCGCGATGACATGATCACACAACAAATCTAAGAGACGAGACTACATAAATAACGATGCTTCTTACCCGAACAACGGCTGGCATCTGAGGTCTTAGAGACTGACATTTCTCGATGCGCAGAACTGCACCCAAGACCTGAAAAGCTGTCATGCTGAATCCTCTTTGTGTGGGGGCAGTTCAAGGAACCAAGGTCTTGGCCAGGATGAAGATCAACGAGGCAGACCTGCCAGGAATTGGGCGAGGCGAGCGTTGCACTGTGACGCCCAAGTGTGGGAAGAAGAAACATCAAGAAACCGTCTTTACGCCCTTTCAGACCTGGGAGCGGGCCAACCTTTCACCCTCTAGGGGCCATGCAGAAAAACGCATCCGAGATGCTTCAACATCGTGTAGAAGGCAACAGTGATGAACAGAAAGCCTGATGCAGCCAGTGACATCACACGGCACCTCTGGACGAGAAACCAAGAGTTGGACAGCATGAGGTTGGCACTCATGTTGGATGCTGCCACATCCAGTGCCGTCATCACGCCGACTAGGGACACCCCGCAGCAAACCGACCGCCTGAGATTCCGAAGGTTCGCTTGAACCGTGCTACAGTGACCGTGCCAGATCGCCTCTGCTTGCCGGGAGGATGACAGCTCATCACCAAGTAGAGAAAGGAGAAGAAACCTTTCAAGACCATGTGACCTGGTTTGGGGATTCGCAGCCAGTCACGGGTTCACGTCGTCATTCCGGTGCGCAGCTGATCTTCAGGGGCCGGCTCATGGTGTAGAAGAGTGGAAAGTTGAGGCCGCCTCCCCCCAGATGTTCCGCAACCCACCCAGTCTCCGGAAATGGCAGAGCTAAGCCAGGACCCTTTCCAGCCTCTCCAAGACTTCATGACCCATTTGTTCAGCAGCACCAGAGTAATTGATACACCTGAGCTGGAGGTTGAAGGGATGCGTGCGCAGAGCACCTGACAGTGTCTGCCGCCAGGCTGCTGTACCATCCTTGGAGCAAGGAAGTGGCCCAAACCGACATCATTCACTTCTAACTCAGTATCTCCACCCTCAAACCCTCACTTACATCTGCGGGACCTTCGAGCCTCCTTTACCTGTGTGCCATTGGTTCGGTCGCTGCAACGGGATAGGGAATGAAAGAACAACACCACTGAAAGATCACGAGACATCTAGCTGAATCTAGCTTACTACTGCTGCTGCTGCTTTTGGCACCTGGGCCTCCTCCTCCTCCTCGTACTATCGCCCCGCTGCTACTGCTGCTGCTGGTGCTGGTAGTAGTGCGGTGGCCGCGGCGATGGCAGTTGCGGTGGCGTGGTTGTGGTGGTGCTGGGGATTAAAGTTGTCTTTGATTATGCCAGTCACGCTTGCAAACGCACTGACAGAAAGCCATGCAACTATGTTGCCGTAGTGCTGTTTTACACTGCTGACCACATCGGCGGCACAGGTTCGTTTGTGAGTGCTGTCGCGACTTTCTTTCATTGCTGATTCAGTCCATCTGGAAGACGACTACTTTCCGTTCTTTCTGTTATGATTTCGTGAACACCAAACCCTAAAACCTAAACTCGAAAGCCCTGAAATACCCATATCCTGACAGAAAGCGTATAAGAACCTTTACTACAGTAGCCAATTCGGCCAGGTCTCCCAAAACCAAGCTGCAGATCAGAAGCGCTGCTGCGGCCCTTGAGTCCGGCCTGGCGCGCTTCACCAATCTGCGTGTGCCTTCGCCTCAGGTACGAACACTCTACAGTTACAGTGTGCAGGGCTTTGGGGGAGAAGAGGCCAGTTGCGCTCGCCGAGGGGCTAAAGCACACAAGAGTGAGGAAGAACAGAAGCTCTTCCAGAATGGAAACAATGTCGGGACTCATGGGCACACATGATGGCACCCTGACTGCAAAACTGTTGAATGTCTAGGCTGGACCGGGTGAATGTTTCTCATTTGTGTGCCAAGTCCGGGTCCAACAAGGGTGATTTGGAGGAGGATTGCATTGGCCGGCTTCCGTGATCTTCCGTAAATGATTGCTGACTGTCCCTCTGTTTCGTTGGTGTGGAAGGTCTATGCGTGCTTTCAATGTTCTTGAGCCTTGCTGGCCCGCTCAAAGTCAAGAAACGCTCAGAACTGTGAAAACGGAGGATCTGGAGATGACCCCTACCAGCAGTGTTTTTGTGGCAAGCCTCGACACGGCCATCGGCCAGTGGCGTGGCCAGTGGCATAGCAGACTCGAAACAATGCTTGACAATCAGGCATATATTGCTCGCACTTGTCTCAAATCGACACACTTTCGTGCATGGCATCTGCGGGCTCTGCCGCAGCTCTGTACAGGCGGCTTGGACTCGAAGCTGTCCAAGGCATTGCAGCGCATTGCGGTCCCAGGCTGCCCAGCGTCAACGGTGCCAGGTGGCACGCAGTCTGAGTGCGCAGTAGAATCTTGCAGCCGGTCGCGAGCCACGGGCCCAAGGGCCCAAGGACTCGACCCGAGTAGACTGAGTAGGCGGGGTTCAGAAGCCACAAATGGCGGAAGTGGTTCAGCCACCTGCACTGGACTCGTTGGTCCGTTGCAGCGCATGGACAGGTTCGTGGGCTTGTCAAAGTCAACCTGAGTCGTCGCCCTCACCACGGATGTTGGTCTTGTGCTCTTCCTTGTGCCCTCCGTCCCAGCATGCTCTTGCTGATGCTCCGGCATGCCACCCGAGGAAGAAGAGGATTGCAAGTCAGTTGCCCCAATGTCACTAGCGGACTTGACAGCGTGGCCGGCCACAGAAGCTCGTCCAAGCCTCGCACAATCAGCAAGGCCCGCGAAGCCGGTGCCCACTTCTGCCAAGCCAGTGGTCTGACTCACCGAGCGCCGAGCATTATCGAAGGCAACTTCCAGTCCAATCTTGGGACCTAATGACAAAGCCTGTGGAAGTGCAAAGCCTCCTATGTCCGCGATGTACTGAGGCCCAGGCACCGGTGCTTGAACTGGCAGAAGACAGCCAGGCATGACCTGCGAGCAGCCGAAGCTTGGTTTCCACGAGTTGCCGGCAATCACTTGAGCGACTGGCACACAGGGATACCTGGGTCAAGGCGGTGGAAGGCGTAAAGTGGCATTCCAGCTTGGAACTTGGTGCTCTCAGCACCAGACTGCGAGACGTAAACTTGGACTGCGCCCTGCCAGGGAAAGCTGTTAGAACACAAGATCTGCAAGCATGATGCATCCCTTTCTGACTGCTTAGACTGGACTCTTCATTGTCTTGCGCCGTGCTCGCCTCGCATTTCTTCAGAAAATCGCGAAGCGACTGGTCACTAAGCTCCTGCGCTGGAAAAAGTGCTTGCTTGTGCTCAGCAGACTCCACTTGAGCGTCCTCCAAGGTCTCGTCTGCCTGCCGAGTGAAGCTCGAACGATGCTCTGGCACGTCTGCACTAGCGATGCAAGACGTCTCGCCACAGCTCAAATCTTCGATACAGCATGATACAGCAGTGAGCTGGCACTTGGAGGTTGCGGCTAGCCTCAGCCTGGGCCATCGCGTGCATGAGCTCTAGAAGCGCCAAGCGCTCGGGATGCGTGTCACGGCGCAGATGCTGGCGAAGCGGAGCCAAGAGATCCTGACATCGCGCTGCTCCATGCAGCTCTCCGTGACTGACTTGATTGACTTGACTGCAGACTGAATCGAAAAGGCCAAGTGGGCTCTCCTCGATGGTCTTGGGCACGGCTGCTGGCGCTGCGCCTCGTGCTTGTGCTCGTTGTGATGCAGCCTCACAGCGATGACAAGCGGGTACAACGCACGAAACAAGACATGCCCAAGCTGGTGACGTGGTAGACTTTACCTTGGCTGCAATCGTTAGATGCCCGTGTGGCTCCCTGGCTCCACCACTGTCTTCTTCGGACACGGGACTTGCGATACTGACTGAACCATTCGTTCCTTCACGTCCTACCGACACTGGAGGAGTCGACTTCTGAAACAGAGCGAGGGGTGCAGGAGACGAGACACCTAGTCGCAGCCAAGATGCCGCTGTTCCGCCACGTATGGTCAAAGCAGGTCACATCCCAAGACACGTGCGCGACCACTGTATCCTTGTGAAGCAATATGGAACGGGACACATATCTGACCTGTATCTGTAGCCGCCGCACATGCTGGATAGGTCGCTTTCAACTAGCTGGGCACAGCTACTGGCAGAGCATTCCTGGGCTTCAGACAGTAGCTGGAATTTGCCAGTTGCCGCCCAGAGCTGCTCTGCACCTCGGCTAACGGAGCCAGGGGTCCCTGGAGATGCAGCAAAAGCCGCCGATCTGTTCACCGACTGTGGGTGCAAGTGGGCGCCCGAACTGCCGGCGTGCGTCGTCCACCCAGCGAGCTGCCGCCTTTCCAAAACCAGGCGATATTTCCAGCTCTGCATGGGCATGGAGAACTACATGGCCACGGCTTGCGATGACAGTCCGAGCGCTGCACGGCTGCCTCTGGCCTTACCAAAATCTGATGTGACTAAGGCTTCTGCCACACGCTAGCCTGCAGAGCAGTCGCTGATTTCTGAATTTTCTGCTCCTGCAAGTATCGCTTTTGGATACTTTCGATGTCGACAATACCATCAAAGACGGGAGGATGTCGCGCAGGGGTCGGTTCGAAGTCGCTGCAGCAGGTGCTCGACAGTGTCCTCCATGAGACGAGCCGTGAGGCTGCCAATGCTCGAAGTACCAAGTACCGGTCCGTCGGTGTCCGGCAGCCGAGTCGCGAGAAAAGCATGTGCCACCTTGGCATCTCCCTGATTCAACAAGATGGCTGCCTGCAAACAAACGGCCAGCTTGTCTACGATATGCCTGGCATGCTGCTCTAGGGACGACGGATCAGATGCCAGGTCTTGCTGCAACCCTCGGAGAACACGCGCGTACGAGTTTGGAGCGTGGCTCTTGGCAGCTTCTGCTGCACCCAGGGCGGACTGAAGCTCTCCCATCAACGCTGTTGAGCTTTCGGGCTCACGACGCAGAGCCCGAAGAACATCTAAGCAAATAATGTTACCGGAGCCTTCCCAAATAGCATTAAGAGGTGATTGACGGAAAAGACGAGCGATCGGCCCCTCCTCTACATAGCCGTTCCCACCGTGGCACTCCATTGCCTCATAGGCCACGACGGGAGCCCTCTTGCAAACGAAATACTTAGCGACCGCCACTGCAATGCGGACGAAGGGTCCTTCCTTCTGGTCCAGGCCGCGTGCAAGGCGCAACCAGGTCGCCAGAGCAGCTTCCGACTCAATGGCGAGATCTGCCAACACGCGGCGCATCAGGGGCTGGTCCAGCAGACGGCGCCCGAAAGCCTTCCTCTCCGAAGCATGGTGAAAAGCAAGCTGCGCGCTTAGCCTCATGAGTGCCGAGCTACCGATCACGCAATCCAGGCGTGTGTGCACAACCATCTCTACAATCGTTCGCACGCCACGGCCCTGGGCGCCAAGAAGCAAGCCCCATGCATTCCGATATTCAACTTCGCTGGAGGCATTGGACTTGTCACCGATCTTCTCCTTCAGTCGCTGAACAGTGAAACCTGCATTGCGATTCCCATCTGGTAGCCACCGAGGGACGATGAAGCATGAAACTCCATGCATCGTTTGGGCGAGGGTCAAGAAGGCATCGCTCATGGGAGCAGAGGTAAACCACTTGTGTCCCACCAGCCAAAATCCGTGCCCGGGGCTCTGCCGCATCCCATTCACAGGCTGTGCCTCCGTCATATTCGCACGCACATCGGAGCCACCCTGCTTTTCTGTCATTGACATTCCGACAGTGGCTCCGGGCTTGGACGGCAGAGGAGCATCCTTCCCGGAATACTTACATGAGATCAGTTTCTCGATCAGATTGGCGACATACCCGTCCGGGTCGTGAGATCCTTGCTGTTGAAGCAGAGCAGGGACAGCAGCAAACGACATTGTTAACGGGCAGCACACGCCCGGATCAAGCTGGTACATGAGATACATCAGAGCTGCACGGATAACGTGCGCACCTGATTTCCCGCAGTTCTCGGGCTGCCAAGCGAAAGCGGAGACTCCCGAGGTGATGCCCAGGTCCATGAGCAGGTGGTAGCTAGGATGAAACTCCGCTGCGTCCCTCCGGTTCCCGAAGCGATCGTGCGTCTCCAGCCGTGGTGGATGACGGTTTGCCTTGAAACTTTCGCAACTCTTACCCTTTGATGCAAGTTGGGCCACTGCTACAGTCCATTAATTACCTCCGCGGGGCTACTACATTCCGCTAAGGCCTCCTGCCTCGGAAGCTCTCGCTTGCCACTCCTCGCTCCCCACAGCTTCCCCGAGTTGCTGCAGGCGGGCCTCGCCCCATGCGCCCCCGTGTGCAATGACTCCAGCTCTCAGTGCCGCGTCGCAGTTGAAGGCGTTGTAGGCGCAAAGCGGCCGCACCTGATTCAGAACCTGATGGGTGGGATGCCCTGGGACCGGAGCTCCCTTCATAGGCCCGGCAATGCTTCCGCCGGCCTGCATGGCTTGCTTCCTTGCGGGCGCGATCGAGTCGACAGACATGGCCCGGCGTTGACTAGCCCTGCGTTCTATGCTACCTCTAGCTGCGTAGCTGCTTGCTTCCGTGTGCCCCGCTGCCTTAAAACACTTCGACAGAACATCTGGCAGAGCTGAACTTGAGCCTGGCTTGATTTGCTCGCTTTGGGCATCTCAGGACGGCCGTCCAGTCAGGTGTGGCAGTGAGTCCCGTCAGAAACTCAAGAGCCTAAATGGAACCAAAGTCAGCCAGCTTGTGTTTACAAATTTGATAATGCCCTCCACAGCCGGTACGGGAGCCTCAACTGCATCTCCTGGCATCCCAACCGACCCGTGTAATGTGAAACTAATCAAAACGACGCATGCTCTAGTGTGACAAGAGCCAATCCGAGCTTCAGGCTGCTGATTTGTTCTGGGCGTGGGCTCCTTCGCCATCAGCCTGCATCAAGCCGTACACGGAAGCTTTTAGGGGCTGCTGGCGACACCCATTCAGCTACTAAACTCGGGCCCACACCCCAGTCGTTGCAGAGCTTCTTTGGAGTACTGCTCACCAAGATGGGGAACGCCTGCTTTCACCGCGGCAATGAAAACTCAACGAGGCTGTGTTTGTGGCAGCACGGCAACCTCCGAAAACGCTGGTGTCGATGGAGGCATCGTCGAGGACCTGTTATTGCAGCGACGGCTCTCCCAGAATGGCTCCTTCTCAAAAGTCCATCGGCCTGCTGCACCCGTGAAAGTGCTCCTTCTCCTCCCTGCTGCGTGTGAAGTAATTCCTCATGGGCCGAAGGATATACGGAGATCTGCAGGCTTCGGGAAGATAACATGCCTTCTTGTTGCACGCAGCTATGACCAATGGCAAGTACACACACGAACGAAGCCTCGAGCAACTTCTCCAGATGCAGCCGTCGAAAACGCACCTGCCGAGCTGCCGAAGTCTTTACGAAACATTGAGAAGCTGTCCCACTTTGCTTCATTGAATCTTTGTCTCAAGATCTCGCTCTTCGTGGGCTCGTGCGGCTGAGGCCCGTGCTTCCAGCTCCTTCAGCACGTCTGACTGTGCCTGCGCGCCTTCCTGCAGCTGCTCTCACAAGAACATGCTGCAAGACTCAAATAGACTCAAGAGCCATACGGCGTCGTGCATGGAGGTCCTGCGACACAGCTTTGGCGACGTTGGCAAAGTCGGTCCAGCTAGCACCGTCACCAAGGCCAGCTTTGCCTGGGACAGGCTAAAGGAGCGTTTGTGGATGAGAGCGCTAATTACTGAGAACGGCACGGCAGAAGAGACTTCCCGAGGCGGCGAGAAAGTCCTGCCAGAAAAGTATCGATTGCCCTGACGGGCATCTCTGTCAGTAAGCAACCGGTGAAGCCCGCGCTGCTTACGTACTTTTCGGTCACATGACATCCAGCGCTCCATAACAAGTTTCAGCAGCATCGCTGCATCGTCTTCAGCCTCGTCGTCTGCTGCTGGCCTTTCCAATTACGGAAACGGCGCCGTCCGTTGTCTAGATGATTGAAACTCAATCGCAAGAGGAGCAGACAAGCACGAGACACCGAATCATGCAATGAACCCTTCGAACCCAGACTTTGGGAGCACTTGAATTTCGTTGACTAGGCCTGTGGATACAGTTTTCAGATTACAAGCCTCGAGCTTGGTGAAGCCTGAGAAAGTCCAGTCAAAAGTACCGTGAAGCAGTGTCGAACCCACAACGCACACAAGCGCATCCTCCAGGATTTCAAGATTCCCTTCCTCAGCCCACCCTAACCTTTTCGTTCAAGAATGTCGCGCACGACAGTCACAGGTTTCAAGCAAAGTCCACATTATTTTCCAAGTTGATGCCACAGATTGGAAAAGCCAAAAAGGGTTCTCAGAAGTTGATTCTCCAACTGTGACAATGCTGGCATATGCTGGTAGCATACCATCTTGAAGCTTTGTCGCGTCTGCACAGCCCTGAATGCGGTGTGTGCACTCAGGAGCTGGCCTTCGCCAACGGAGCAATGTATGCAAACCGAAAGCCACGTTTGCCATTTCCTCGAGCTCGCAGGCTCCCCACGGACTCGTTCATGTGCGGCTCTGACACGTCCTCTCCTGTACGGTCAGCTCGCTGACCGAGCGGACTGCGCGTCCGCCCACAGCCTGCCGAGGTTCGATCCGCTCCGAGCCGATTTCTGAGCTTCGCTGACAGACCTGATAGAAGGGATGCCCGCCTTGACACATGGGCGATGCCAGAAACAAAGCACGCCGAAGGCCCAAAGGCTGTTGCCGACACCTGAGGAGCAGTTTCTGCCAGCACTCGCTGCAACCGCAGTGGTTCATCTTTGTGTTTTGAGCTTCAGGCCCTGTGGGTCCAGCTCGCCAGCACGACCAGCGAGGGACCGGGCAATGGCCTCGAAAAGCTCGTCCGAGGCCACGCCAAGCTTGGCAAAAGACCAGGCCGCTATGGAGAGATGTTGAGCCTGACAGCTCGAACGGAACAGCGATGCAAGGAAGCCCGATGCCCGATGCGTCGCAATGCGCCTGGCACTCATTGGCCCTGGCAACGAAGTCTCGGCACAAGACCTCAAGCAGCTGCTCGTGCAGCAGACCCAGCTTGGCCAAACCCCAGGCCACGTTGGCCATGTCCTCGGAGGGTTACATCTGTAGCACGATAGCTCTGTCAATACGCTTTGTGGTCCTGCGGCGCAAACTTGGCCACCTTTTTCACAGACTCGTTTGCCACAGCCTCTATCATCGACGCAGCCTCCACGCCGGCAGTTGCGTATCCTTGGGCAAGTGGATCAGACAGATGAACGTGAGTCAGACCCGCACTTTGTTTGCTTAGGCTCCCCAGATGATCGTGGACAGGTCTTGTGGCGTCAGCTCGCGCAGGAGCCGCATCACAGTGGAGGTCAAAGTGTTCAACATCCCGGCGCCTGTCCGAGGCGTGCCAACACCATGACAGACTACGAGGCACTAAACAATCGCCGCACTCTACAGCT